GATGTTGTTACTTGATGTTCCTCTCTCTCTGCTGCTGGCTGCCTGAATCAGAGAGAGAACCCCCAGAGCTCCAGACACATAGTTCCATGTCTGCCAGTCGTTGAGATCTTGCAGGAATTCCTGTAAAAAATGTAACATACTTAATTACATTCTTGACTTTACATGTTATACTCAATTAGTATCTCTACATATTTATTAGAAGAGATCAAAGCATTTTCAATTTGTCATTCCTGGCTCACTGATGGAGAATTGAATCACATGTGTCATCTGGATCCAGACGTTTCTTTTTCATCAACTCTTTGGAGCTCACTGTGAAAACTTTGAAACATTCCTCACTGAATTGTTTCAACAACAAAAGAGTTTCAATATCAAAGCAGGTTTGCAGTTTGGGACAATATTTGTGTTTTTGTATTCAATATAACTCACCTTAGCGTCTTTTAGTTTGCTGAATTCTGCCTTCACGTCTATCTTGGCTTGCTCGTTTTGTTTTAGTATCAGAGCACGAACATCAGCTGCTGACCTATAGGAAAAGATTTGTATTTGAAGAATGACATGAACTGCATATATATTCCAGGATATGATATCACTACGCATCTCCATCTTGCTTTCAATGACCAATGATCACATAGCTTCATCCAGCATCACTAAGTGTTTGTGAAGCAACAACATTAGGACAGAAATAAATGGCTGAGATATTGAGGAATCAATGCAGGCATTTAAAAACACGGATACTGTTATGATCATGGATACCCTGGTTGATCCTGTTTCAAGTGAACATTATATCCCTGAATACCATCCAAACCAGGATACTAATGTGCCTGTAAACGTAATCAATGTTTCCATGGTTTCTCCTCTTGGCCATCAGTGTCTAAATTGGATGGTACATTTAACTGTGTACTTTTGCATCTTAAACCACTTACTGATCATCTGAACCTCCAAGACTATCAGACATGGTGCAGATCAAATGAATCTGCTGACACTCGCGACCATTTCCCATGAGGCTGCAGGATTCTTCCAGGATCTCCCAGGATTCTTTTTCAGAAGCTGCTCCATTGATCTCAGCCACAATCCACACAGTAGAACAACTTCCAACAACCTGGAGGGGAATACAGAAAATAATAACGGTTACGTTGTCAGTGTTCCACAATAATCAGCATTGCGTGTGGATAAATCACCTTTTTCCACATTGTGTCTCTGGTCTTGTTACGGTCCCGGTTTCCAGGAAGATCCACAAGTGTGACGTGCTGGAGAAGACCCTTCTTCGGCCCCCTGACAGTCACACACTTCACCAGTGGCCAATAGCACTTCTTCACGTCTTTAGCATCTTCCTCTTTTGACTCACTTCCAGTGTATTTGACCAATTCTGCAGATAAGTCTTCAGCCTAAAATAAATAATAAAACAAGAGGCAATGCAAGGCCATTTCTTTTACCAACACACTCTCACACACAACAACAAATAACATTGAGAGAGTCGGGGGGGAAGTGAACACAAGTGCATTTATTTACACCAAAGAATGGAGAGGAAGAAGCGTCTATGGAAGAAGGTTAGGAACATGTGGGAAAATCACTTTGGTCAGACCTCAACTTTTTCTTTACTAGTGAAAGTCAGAATTCTGATAAAAAAATTAAACCTTTTTTTCAGATTTTCTATTTTTTTTTTCAAGAAAATCTCAGAAATCAGATTTTTCTTAAAATATATTTTATTTATTTTCATGACAACCTTCAGAACTTTCTTCATAGATCTGACATTTAAGTAAGAACTCTGATTTATTACTCAAAAGACGACTGTAAGAGTCGGGAGTCATCCGATATAATTTATTCCGAACTTAAATTACTCAGACCTCCTAATTGACCTAACCGAAGTTATTGAGTCTATGTAAGTTTACTGCTTGGCTCAGATCCACCAACGATCAGCAAGATCTCACCTCTATTAACTCCCCGAAGAACCAGGTTCAATTAACTGCTGTTTCAATTCAGACAACCCCCTAAATCTGTTTAAGCAATCCCGAAGGACTTTGATATCAGTAAATGAGGTGTGGCCCTACCTAAGTGTGAGTGTGGCAGGGTGCGATCTTACCTTTCAAGCAGGAGAGGAGAGCGCAGTTGTCTTTTAAGTTGTCCCAATCCAAAAGGTGGGATCAGTTTATTTGAAGAAAAATAGGTCCAAACTAATACAGGGTTTTTGCCTTCTCTCGTTACAACATTATAATCATACTAAACCTATCATGCTGATCATGTTCTAATATGAAACTTTAATTCACAGTTTTACATTTATTACCAAAATTGTAACTTCAACTGCCCAATTCAGTTGTGACATTTAAAATCTCCCGATAGAATTTAGAGGCTTTTCCTCATAAAAGACCGTTGTTAATAAAAAGCACATTCAGACTTTCTTTCACCAAATCAGTTCACATCAATTCCATACCTTTTTTCCGACACAGATGGCGGGAACTAACATTCACAAACACATACCTATTTCCCAATCATGCTGGGGAAGTTTACCTTTTTTCCGCACAGATGGCGGGAAGTTTAACCTAGTTTTCGCACAGATGGCGGGAAGTTTAACCTAGTTTTCGCACAGATGGCGGGAAGTTTAACCTAGTTTTCGCACAGATGGCGGGAAGTTTAACCTAGTTTTCGCACAGATGGCGGTAAGTTTAACCTAGTTTTCGCACAGATGGCGGGAAGTTTAACCTAGTTTTCGCACAGATGGCGGGGAGTTTCATTCACAAACACATACCTATTTCCCAAACACAGATGGTGGGTACTAACATTCACACACCCATAGATTTACGCAATAGTTACCAAGTTCGAGAGAACCTTACCGAGAGCAAAAACCCAGCTCTGAGGGAGAGAGCGTTACCGAGGGCCAATATACCAGGGGATCCCCCCCCCTCTCTCCCTCTCTCCAAAAAGAAAGTTCCTCCTCATCTGCCAGTGTCTTTATGCTCGAAAACAGGATAGAAAAACCCAAAGACACCTCCTCCATACCCATATTTGTGGAAACTGGGCATGGCCTCTGATGTAAAGAACTGGACATGACCAGACATATTCTATGGCTCTGGCATAAGACACACCTTCCCATGTTTGTGTAAAAAGGACATGACCCCTACTCTGCAGGACTTGCAAAATATTATTCTCGGCTATGACATAACCACCCTTTTGGGGCCTGTTAGTTATTCTTGAACCCCGAGAGCAGGAGAGACTGAAAAGAGTCAAGGCAAGCTTATACAAGTTAACAGTATTTAATTACACAAAAGATGCGGTGGTTTACAAAAGAAATGTGCTGGTTGGTGGTTTCTCCCTGCCAGCTGTTTTGGTCCCGTGTCGCCGGGTCAGCTCGGGGCAAAGAGAGCGAGATCCTTCTTGGGTCTCCCGGGTAAGACCTGTAGTCTTCTCCTATTGGCCGGCGTCGACAGGGGCGTGTCCAATGCAAATCCTGTCGGCTTCTGCTGCTAAATTACATCACTCTGATGTCTGTGGTCATCTAAACATTCCCTAATAAACCTCATTCCAGCGTCAATAAATGAGTGTTAAACTCAGGGTGTTTAGTGTACAACATCACGTTATTTCACCTTCAATTCACGGTTTGAAAACGTAGCATTTCGCCACAAGCTAATGCTAACCGGAAATGACGAAATTCACCAGCGAAAAACCGGAAGTCACATGTGAATCTTCGGTTTTCAGAATAAAACAGATTTAAATGAAATACAGTGTATTTCATTCAAATTACGCCACATCAACATTGATTTTAATTTCTAACAGGCCTCAATGTATTTCTCCTTAAGTCAGGAGCCCCCCTCCCTGTGTACCGCTGTGAGGGGAGAGGTAAGAAACTGCCTCTTCTCTTATCAGTGACACCCATAAACCATTACAGGCCTTACACACTCAACTTAACAAACCACTTACTTTTTGTTTATACTGTAAATATAGAACATCATAAAATATGAAGCATTTTCATTGTGGGTTATACAAGAATATAATTGATTATATTTGATTATAACTAACTTTCGTTTTAAGTATTCAACCTGATTTGGAGATCTCAACACCCTCTTTTTAAAACGCAAAGTTATCAAAACAGCAACAGACAAAATCGTAAAAACACATACATATTACATACGTCAAACTTCAAGCATCAACATCATGAAAAGTTCTTCAGTATGTGTAATAAGGATTGTCTTCGCTGAGTCCAAACTGGCGTCCACCGAAAACATAGTACCTCACCGGAATGTTCTCGGTGACACATAGGTCAGGCACCAAAGTAAAAAGAGCCCTTGGGCCGCCACGATGATGGTAGATTTGTGTGCGTACTGCCACTCCGCCTGGTACTTGCAGGAACGGGGGGCCCATCTGTTGTTTCAGTGTAGACTCCTCAATCCATGTTGCTATCTGATGTAACTCCTTGACCCTGACCATGGAAGAGTTGAGGTTCCTCCCTGGATGACACCTCCAAACGAAAGCCAGACATCTCGGTCGACAGTTGTTATGGGTATTTTAGACCTCGTCAATAATCGCTCACGGATGGTTGTCGTCTTTCCAGGTGAGCCCTCATCACGAGGCGGAGAGGCTCCATCTGTCGGTGTGTGTAGATTCACTTGGTTAACTTTGTGACAAGGTCAATGAGGCCCCACACAATGATAGCATAAACGAGGAACCAGAGGCATATGAAACAGCTTAGCTGGCACTCGCTCATGACATCCTGTGTGTGCAGTGTGAGATTAGGTGTATGTGGTGCGAGTGTGGTGCTGGTGGTGACTTGGCACGTCACTTGTTGTCGTCTGTTTCTACCGTCCCTCCTGGCCTGTGACTACGACTTTGCAGTGGCTGGCGTGGACCCACGTGGCTCTCTCGGCGAACTTGACCGCTGTCTTTGTGACGAGAAGCACCTGGTAGGGACCTTGCCAACGGTTGGATTTCCAGCTCTTTCTCCGGAAGTCCTTCTTGGGAAATCCACTGCGACCTGAGTGGCTTAGCGGGTAGAGATGCAGCCTGTCCCACATAGCTGGAAGAAACATCATCCTCCACTGGCAGGGGTACAGGTGACTCAGCCGCTGGCTCCATGCTGCACAGGTTTCCTGGGTCCAGGAGTTGTCTTCACTGGAGGCACTGTGACTGAAGTAGTCCCGCTAGGCAGGTTCAAATCCTCTTGGTAGATTGAGGTATTAATCTCAACAATATAGCTAAGATTAAGTATAAATTATTTCTCTGATTCATAAAGAGTTGTTTCAGTTAAAAAAAACTTCCCCAAGGATTCTTTCAAGGGGTTCATGTATTCCATATTGCTCTGGAATTTCTATAGACAGCAAGGTGATTGTTTCTTCATCTTACTCAGTTGGCCTCTAACGGCAGAAAGCACTGGGCCATAATTTACTCTTATCAGTTTAACGACCTGACAGCCCTACACCTCCATGCTGTGTGAAAACCAGCAAAAAAAGAAGGGGAGATGTTCTCAAATAATTCTAATTTAAATTAATACTGCTGTAGGGTACAGGCATATAACAATTAAAAATAACTGAAGAGAAGAATAATAATGTAAAATTAAAAACAATGAGAAAAATAAAATAACGGTTCTTTTACCATTTCCTCTTTGATACTGAGGTATTCTCCATTCAAGCTCTAATGATCCATATACTAATGGACAGAGTTTTGTCTGGCTTCTTTCTTTGCATAATGCACTAAAGATCCTAACAGTTGTAATACTAAATCCTTTCAATTGAGATATTGCTTGTTACTCAGATTTAAATTCCCTCTTTTGCTCTGTAAAATATCCCTTGGTTCAGAACGTACCAAGACAAATCCTAAATTATTGTAGGAAGATCCCACAAAAAGCCATCCTCTCCTGTGGAAGAAAGCACATTACTGCCACATGTGTGTGCGCAAAACATGTCATGTGATGTGAGACTGATAGCATCAATAGTGGATTGGGTAGGCCGCAGTCATATTCCTGTCTGGATTCTAAACTCAGTTGGCTTGGGTGAACCGGTCCTCTCTTTTGGAGTGAAACTACGTTCCCTGAGATTGACGTCACTGTATCCAAACCTTCTAATTTAGTTTTAAGCTCACCTCTTTCTGGACTTCGCCCCTTTCTAGTCACCCATACACGATTTCTGAATTTAAACGGAAAAGGTGTGATAGTTAGATATGACCTGACCTTTGCCCTAGGTAACTTTTCCATACATAGGAATATATTCAGCCTGGTCAAATTGATTGGAATGTCCCAATATGTTTTACAGTTTTTTATACTCCACTCTTTGGCTGCTCTAACGCCTGAGACGTATATGGTAACGACCAGATAGGTGTGATTCCATTATCCTGCAAGAGTGACAAAACGTTCTCATTTTTAAAGTGAGTTGCATTATCCATTCTTATTCTCTCAGTTTTAGGAAAATTACTTATATGTTCCGCCATTCTAGAAGACACTGTGTTCCCTGTTGCTCTGGTCAGAGGATAAACATGTTTATGACTCCCTCCATTATCACAGATCACAAGGAAATACTTGTTCCCACTGGGAGTACGGGTCGGAAAAGGACCTGCTATGTCAGCACTAAAACTGATTAGTGGTTAATGTTCAGGATGAACTTTCTTGAACCCATCCACCTCTGCACATTGATGACATGTTGACCATGTGTGTTGTAAGTGCAATCACAGCTTTGGTATGAGGATTTTATTGTTGAGACAATATTTTCTCATCCAAACTAGGCCCACATGGCCTAAACTGCCGTGTAATTCAAGCACAACCTGAGGAGCTTCTTCAGGAGGTACATGAATGCTTCCACCCTTTTTCCATATACTAGGAAATATGGCAGTCAGGTGGTTAACTCGTCTCCTGCTTTGAGCAAGTGCATCAACTTCTCTATTTCCCTGATAGTCAACATCGATCTTATCTGTATGGCTACGAACATGATTCCATTCTAGGTACATGCCCGCCCTTAACTCTGCAATAAGACTCCATTGATGGGCATGTGTCAGCGCTTCACCTTTCACATTGGTTAACTGCCTTTGTTCACAATAATCAAGCTCTTCTTTACCTGCTTTGTAACAATAATCACTATCGGTAACAATACGGATGTGTGTTATTTTACGTTTTTTAGCAAAAAGAAGACCCTCAACTGTGCTGTACCCGGAATCACACCTTTTTCTTTGCAAAGTAATTCACCTGAATTAGTTTTTATTATAAAGGCCCAAGTGGCTGCTTGGTCACCTTTTCGCAGACTCCCATCTGTAAACAGAGTTATTTTGGGAGCAGCGGTTTTCTGTAAGGGTTTCATTGTTTCCCTTTGTAATAAAAGGATAACTTTTTGAATCTCCCTCTTTTCTTAACAACTGGCTGCTCTATGGCTATTTGAAATCTGACTTGGTTAAGAGTTGATTTATTTATTGGTGAGAGCAAAACTCTTCCCCTTGTGATGGGGTGGGGGTGGGTAGCCTGGTTTGGGAGAGTTCCTTAGAATCTCCAGATCTTCCTCTCTGTGTTGAGGCCATAAAACCTTTGAATGGGTCGCTCTGTGGTCTGTTCAGATTTAGATGTTCTTCCTCTCCAGAGGTCATGCCTGTCTTTGACCCTGTGTGCTGCTGTGAGTCTGCAGCACCTCAGGAGCAGAGAAAGGGGGAGATCTCTTCCCAAAAGTGTAAGCTCCCTCATGAGCAACATAGCACCACATTAACTCTCCCTGACTTGTTTGTAAAGCGTTCTTTAAGGCCTGAATTGAGTCTTCTGTTGTGTAACGGAAAATCCCATTTCCAAAAGGGGTCAGTTTAATAGTCCTTATCATATTATCGCTCTGTGCTTGCATGCTAGGACCTATTCTCTTTGCCAGAGCTGCTGCTATTCATCCTACATGTTTTAGCTCCATATTAGCAGGGTTCACTAACATGGTTGGTTGATCCAGTTTAAGATTTTCAATATCTGCCATTATTATTTCCAACATTCCTTTGCCCTGAATATCAGGTCTAACAATGTGTTTTCTTTTAGGAGTATTAGATGGGATACTCATAAGTGGCATTTGTGAGCTATCATCTCCGTAGGGTGGAGGTAGGGTCTCAGACATTATACCACCTGCTTGTTGCTCTCTGTCTAAACGGTAGTCTAACAGGAATGTATTTAGGTCGCGGTACGCCCGTGGGTCTGGGCTAAGCTGACCAGGGGGGGCAGAAGGTCCGGATCTAGCTTCTGTGTATCCCTCCCAATCTGTTGCTGGCTCTGAGTCATTAAAAAACTGCGTTCTAAACTCATCTGCCATTTTTTAAGGGTTTAAGTTCACTCTTTTATACACATGCAAGTTCCTAGGCTCTTACTCACACCGGATGATCAGTCCGACTATACCGTCACTTGGTTCTAGGTTACTCTCCTGGATTCAGCTAGTGCATGCGGATACCTCAACTAAGAGGGTTATGTATCGAGCTTCGAGCTTTTCCAACAGCCAAGGAACCCTTTTAGACCTATGGTTTATCTTTATTAAATATCCTATTAACTCTTCACCACGTTATGTTTTAACGCAAAAATTCTAACCGCAGCTCTTTGTCAAGTCCTACCTATAAGTTTCAAAGTAATTGGACAGGTACTGAGCAGTGCTCCTACGGCTGACTTTACTAATAACTACTAGCCACCAAACCTGTGCATTAGGGACCACAGGGGCTTCCCAGTTTGGCTAGGGGAAGAAAAGCCTACTTTAGCTTCTTTAACAGACAGCAATATCCGATATAATATAACCCTCAGCCCGGTGCAATAGTATCAACTTTAATTACTACACTTTTAGGTATAAATATATTCTAGGATTTGGGTAGGTATTTTAACAAGACTTTCAGCCTGTATTTCGCTGATTTGTGCTCATCGACTTTTGTCACTAGGCCGTTTTGGTTCTTGTATTTTAACTCTGTAGAAGTACAACTTCTCACAGAGCCCCACGTTGGGCGCCATGTAAGAGTCGGGAGTCATCCGATATAATTTATTCCGAACTTAAATTACTCAGACCTCCTAATTGACCTAACCGAAGTTATTGAGTCTATGTAAGTTTACTGCTTGGCTCAGATCCACCAACGATCAGCAAGATCTCACCTCTATTAACTCCCCGAAGAACCAGGTTCAATTAACTGCTGTTTCAATTCAGACAACCCCCTAAATCTGTTTAAGCAATCCCGAAGGATTTTGATATCAGTAAATGAGGTGTGGCCCTACCTAAGTGTGAGTGTGGCAGGGTGCGATCTTACCTTTCAAGCAGGAGAGGAGAGCGCAGATGTCTTTTAAGTTGTCCCAATCCAAAAGGTGGGATCAGTTTATTTGAAGAAAAATAGGTCCAAACTAATACAGGGTTTTTGCCTTCTCTCGTTACAACATTATAATCATACTAAACCTATCATGCTGTGATCATGTTCTAATATGAAACTTTAATTCACAGTTTTACATTTATTACCAAAATTGTAACTTCAACTGCCCAATTCAGTTGTGACATTTAAAATCTCCCGATAGAATTTAGAGGCTTTTCCTCATAAAAGACCGTTGTTAATAAAAAGCACATTCAAACTTTCTTTCACCAAATCAGTTCACATCAATTCCATACCTTTTTTCCGACACAGATGGCGGGAACTAACATTCACAAACACATACCTATTTCCCAATCATGCTGGGGCAGTTTACCTTTTTTCCGCACAGATGGCGGGAAGTTTAACCTAGTTTTCGCACAGATGGCGGGAAGTTTAACCTAGTTTTCGCACAGATGGCGGGAAGTTTAACCTAGTTTTCGCACAGATGGCGGGAAGTTTAACCTAGTTTTCGCACAGATGGCGGGGAGTTTCATTCACAAACACATACCTATTTCCCAAACACAGATGGTGGGTACTAACATTCACACACCCATAGATTTACGCAATAGTTACCAAGTTCGAGAGAACCTTACCGAGAGCAAAAACCCAGCTCTGAGGGAGAGAGCGTTACCGAGAGCCAATATACCAGGGGATCCCCCCCCCCCTCTCTCCCTCTCTCCAAAAAGAAAGTTCCTCCTCA